TCTGACCAGCAGGCCGTGTAAAACACCGTTAGCTCGTAGCTACAAAGTTAGCAGCAATGGTACTAGAAGACTTCCGGTATGGGCGACCGGTTGACCTTCAAAATAAGAGCTCAGCGTAACCTGCTTCTCAGCACGGTCAGATTGCAGGACAGGGTGGTGTAGTAGAGCAGAACCCTTGTGACGTCACGTGTTACCACGAGTGACCACAAGATGAAGGCAAACACCAAAAATTGAGTCATTTTTTTCTTTACAGTCTTTCTAGATTGTGTACATACATTTTCTGGTTGTTTCTGGGCAGTTTCCRGTTCCTGAACACAACAGCTGAGCATATTTTGTTTCAGCTGTCATTCATCAGTCCACACCACCTGTCACCTAAGGCCCCACCTCCATGCCAAGGCCATATGTTTGAAACTGAAAAAGAAAAAAAAGTCTGAAAATGAAAAAGAAAAATCCTAGAGTCTACGGAGCCCGCGAGGGGACATTTGGAGTTTTTTCTTTTGCATTCCCACACAATAGTATTGTGTTACCTCGCAATATTTTTGCATTACCTTGCAAAATTGTTTTGCATTCTCACACAAAAGATTGTTTTGTATTTGAAATTAATTAAACCAGACTTTTATTTTGAAATTTCCATTTACCAAAACAGGATGTGTCGCCACAAGTTTGTGAATTGACATTGATGTTGCGTGGCTGCAAATCGGCATATGACATACTTCCATTAAAGGTGGGCGATACTGGGAATTTTGGTATCGATCCGATACCAAGTAAATACAGGGCCAGTATCATCGATATCGATATCAATACTTTTTAAGCTTCATCATTTGAAAATATCCAAAAGATCTAGGATACAATTTTGCCAAACATTGTACGTGACAACAAAATAACAATCAATATCTTTTTCTTGCCAACAATAAAGCAGTAACAAACCAGTTTCCTTTAGCATTAGGAAAATAAATCTTTAAAACAAAAATAAAATAAAAATTCTTCCCTCACCACTAGACAGCTTTCCTAATTATTTCTTTGTTTCTTTTATTAAATAAAATTATTCTAAGGAAAAACAAAAAATAAAAAATTTTCTTCCTTTCAATACAATTTTGTTTTATGTAAATAAACAGAATAAAAATATCACTCAACACAACTTAAAACAAAATCTCCTGAGGTAGAGGGCTCGGTGAGAAAGCTGAGTTGGTGGGCCAGCTAGCCTACCTGCTTAGTTAGCTTACCTGTTTGGCTAGCGCTGCTGAGCAACGTGACGGTGCAACAACAAAAGATGGGGGTGTGTGCACTGCTCCCTGCTGTGTGTGACACAGTGCAGCACTATGTGCAGCAGTCAGTGTGTGCGGGAAAGAACAAAGCTTGAGTATCGATCTTTTTACACGAGTATTGTTCAGTATCAATACCAGCGCTGATATCGATATTATCAATATTTAGTATCGATCCGCCCACCTCTAACTTCCACGTGTGGCTGTGTGATATATTCTGAAGCTGAATTAAAGCAGTAGGCGAACTCGCTAATGGTGAACGTGCCTGTCGGTTTATTAACAAACTCACATAACAGTGATAAACTACTTTTGCTAGGGAATGCAAAAGATATTTCGAGGTAAGGCAAAAGGTATTTCGAGGTAAGGCAATACTATTGCGTGGGAACGCAAAAGAAAAAAAAAACTCCCATGTTCACTCACGGCCTCCATAAGAGTCGACAAGTAGTTTGTGACATTTTCTTTTTCCTGCTTCAACTCTTTTTTTCAGTTTCAAATAATTCATTCTAAGTTTCAAGCATTTCTTTCAGTTTCAAAACTTTTTTTTAACAAACTTGGTGGCCCCAATTTAGCTCCACACAATGGATGCTGACACTGGAAACAGCGAGAGGAAGAGGAGGAGGAAGGGCGAGAACTGTAATCTCTGATGAGGTCAGAGCTCCATCGTTTGACCATGTGGTCTTAGAATAGTTTTATTTTTATGTAACTGTTTACAGTAAATACTTCTGTTGTTTTGTATGTAGAGCACTGATTGTGTCTCATTGTGTAACGT